GGTATCCGTGACTGCTGCTTTGCCTATCAGAAGAGGCGAGAAGGAGGGGAGAGGCGGGGGGAGAGTCCCGATGCGACACGCATCTCGGGATCTACGTGATGTTTGCGATCTTCCGCCGATCTGTTTAAAGGGTTCAATCTATCGTTCCGTTCTCCCACAGAAAACCGTTGCGCGGATTCGTTATTGGCTTCTAAGCAAATCTTTTAACGGATTTTGCCGATCAGCTGAGTCGAACGCGAGAGTCGAGAATTTAAATGCAATGTCGCCGTTGCCGTTGAATTTTCCATGGAGAGATATTCGGCAACAGCACTGTATTTGCGGACGATATTACATTAAAATGATTTTTAGATTAAAGTAATAATTATAACTATAATAAAATATTTGTATCTTAGAGAATTGCATTAGTAGAGTTAAGAAGAGACGACATTGCTGCTACGTTCTCACATTTTCTCAAATAACCCTAAAATATAATTTCCGTATATGCACGTATGTTTTGCGTCTTCCGGTCTTCGTGCACAATTTGAGAAGCCCAGTCGTTCTTCAGTGCACTCCTAGAAATAGGAGCCACCACGTGCCAATGTTTTTCATCCTACGCGATAATCATACACGTCTGGTCCTACGGTGGGTTAAGGTCATCCCCCTTGTCGCGGAATCGGGAATTAATGCAACACAACGTGAGGATTGGCTACCTAAAGCTCGGCGTAATATGCAAATGCCGAGGCTGGCTCGCGCTCGACGAAACGAGGAAGAGAGAGGAACTTCCCCATCCTCCTTCACTGCCTTTCTCGCCTCTTTCCTCTCTCCCCTCCCCCTCCTCTGTCCGCTCTTTGTCTCTCTCTCTCTCTCTCTCTCTCTCTCTCTTTCTCTTTCTTTCTTTTCTCTTCCTCCTTTTACGAACTGGACTCACCATCTAGCTGAAGAAGGGATGAAGAAGAAGGATGAAGGTACCTAACAACCTTTGTAATACTCTCCGATACGTGTTTCTTCTTCGTCTCTTCCTCCAACGCGAGTTCTTCCTTCCTTTTCCTTTTTTCCTCTTTTTACTCTCCATCCTTCTCGTGCCGTTCCGACAAATAAATAATTCATCGAGGCTGCATGCTTTATGACGATTATGCTAATCCACATGAACCTGTTACTGCCGCTCGCGCTCGCACGCGCGCACGCACGGCTTGAATGGACGGCAGGCCGCAGGACGAAGGAATTGTAGGCGATCCTGGCGCACGCGTTCCCGACAACGTCCGAGAGATACACCTTGCGAACTATTCTTCAACTCTCGACAGATTTGGGAAAACGAGGGGGGGGAGGGAGGAGGGGATCAAGACCGGCAAAGGGAAACAGGTGCCGCTACAGAGGCTTTCTCGAGAAATGTGGGAAACCGATGACCCACTCTCTCTCTTTCGGCATGCCGTGGACCCTTTCGCCCTTGACACAATGACCGCTCTTTCTCTTTCTCACAAAGTTCCTTCTTGTTCCATTAAGATTGCGCCACATCGAGGAAGCTGTCGCGAGAGGATATATCGCAGGAGACGTCTCTAGGAATAAAATGCGCGTCCGGCAAGCTAATTTTTCTTTTTATCTCTGTATATTGTATAATTTCCTAGTTTTACGTGACCAATGTGACGGCGCTGGAAGAACGGCGTTCGAAATGAAACCGACCGTGTGCTCGCACGCTCTCTTCCAAAATAGTCCATTATTTTATACTACGAAATTAATGATCCCGTTTATAATCCTTATTCACTGACAAACGTTCTCCGACGCATTAGAGTAACGCACGTCGTTTGTATTCAAAGCGATTGATTTCTATTTACAACACCTGGGAACTTGATTTCGAGCTCGCAAGCTAGAAGATATCCCATTATGGGGACTCAGGTTGGTGGCAACCTACCGTTCGGACGATGGTCCGAACGTAACACTTACGGAGTATCTTATCGGCCGGACGGATAACTTATTAACTGTCGACGGCATACTCTGCCCGGGGACCGCTATACGGGTGTCGCGGTAATAACGTAGAAACGCTACGCGTGGAATGCGCCATGATATCGAACGTCGCGATGAAACGTAAGTAATCCACGGGATGTAGTGGGAGACATGGGATGGTGTTTCGCTTTACAGCCTCCGGGATCGCTCGTTTCCCAGCTGAATTAGACTCGTCGTCGTAAAACAGCTAGCGTAGACGACGACGACGACGACGACGACAATGACGACTACGGACGTCGACGGTCAGCGATCTCCTCTTTCTCGCCAGGCAGCCGGAAAGAGCTGGAATCCCTTTCCGTTCGCTCCCACGAGGAGCGAGCGATCCCACGCGTGGGAGGATCGTCGTCCTGCTGCTAGCGAGAGAGGATACAGCCCGTGTGTAGCGTACTTCTAAACGCCTCGGTCGATGTGTACGCGAAGACCCGGAAACCGTTGGATATCCCGTCGCAGTCTCTCTTATCGCGTTCTACCATCCTCGAGCGACGAGCGTTATTAGCATTGGCAGTTATCCGGGACTATCTAATAAATTGTTCGCGAAAGGGCGTGAGTGCGTGTGTGCGTTCACGGTTAGAGCACTCTTCGTCTTTTGCTGGTCGCTGCGAGACGTTCGCGTGGCACTCGTTATTCTACAACGACTACGAAATTTCGGATTACTGTTTAATTTTGGGTTGTCAAAGTGTATGTAAAAAAAAAAAAAAACGAAACAATTACGACTACATTTTGTAAGCGAGATAGCGAGTAGCTCGGAAAATTAAAACAAGTCTTTCGAGAACATTTTTGTTACAACGTGATTCACGCTGTGTGTAGACGCCGATTTAACAATTGCATCGAGTTTACTTGCATTCACAAAAGGTGCGACGACGTTTCTCGTTCATGGCAATTTTTCACGTAGGGAAAAGATTGCGACGCTATTTCGGCGACTTCCTCCTTCTTAAAGGCGGAGAGCTCCGCTCGCGCGGTACCTGTTCAAATGGAATATCCGTAGAGATCAGACAATGCTCGTCTGAATAGATGACACTCGAATCCTCGGAGACGGAGATATCCGATCATTTTTATCCCCGATAGCATGTGGGCCAGATGCCCACACCCCTCGCTCAAATTGCGTCTAACCCCCCCTCCCTGGGGGGCGTTGCCACGACGCTGATGTAGCAGGTAGAGCAGGTAGTGGAGGCCCGTGCGTCCCGGCTGCACCCTGCGTTTTCTGCCAAGGGTCGCGACGTTGCGACCAGGAAACGGCAGCAAAGGATATCAAGACATGGAAAGAGAGAGAAAGAGGAGCGAAAGAAGGACCGTCAATCAACCAATAGCCGCGGCTCGAGTTAATGCGTTTCTTTTATTATGCAACTCGTCGCAACTCGAGCCTACCAGCGGCAGCGGCAGCGTACAGCCGGAGTGCCGCGGCAGGCCGGAACCGTTTAGGGAAATTTCCCGCTACTGTTATTCAAACGAGGGTCGTGCGTCGAAAAAGTACCGTCCCGGTACTCAGCCGCTGTCCCTTTGCCGCGCGAGGTAAACGTATGCATATCGATCATTCTTCGATCGGATGAATGCCGCGAACCAACGACGTTAACAGCGACCCTACCTTTACTCGTTACTCGCCTCGAAGGCGCCAACGGTTTTTTTTTAGCCGCCGCTCTTCGCGTCGATGGAATTTCTGGTACGCTCGTGCACGATGACGAAGTAGAATACCGCCTGTATACCTGTACACTGTGAAATTGTGAAACGGTTTTTTTTTTTTAACGTATTTCTCCAAAAGTGATATATACGAGCGGGGTATTGGGAATTCTCTCGCGGAAATAAATGCGCAGGTTTCAAGATGTACCGGCTTTTGAAGCGGTCGCGCTATCCGAAATGCGCACGTTTCAACGGACCGCGACTTGACGTGCGTGCGTTTTTAATCAGCTCGCGCTTAGAGACGGCGCCTGTGAATGGCCGGGCAGCATCTCTTACGGAGAGACTCTCCGCAAGCTGGAAGATATATTCCGGAGATCTCACGGACACCGCCACCGTCTGCGGCGATATGAAAAGACCAACAGGCGCGCGACGTGCGCCTGTCGCGCACGCGGCGCGAAGCGACATTGTCTTTTATCGGCCTAAACTCATTTAGCCTTGGCTTCCGGTGGCGTTAAACGAGGGCTATTCATCGGGGCGTTCGTTCGTTTCGTCGCGTGCAAACACCGAGGGGAGCTAGAGAGCGAGAATATGCGGTCGAGTATGGCTGACCAGAGAACGATTCCAGCAGCCGCGTTCCAGCGGCAGCGTTCACGAATTCTCACGCCGCCGCGCGCGTATAACACACAGATGCGTGTGCGCGTTCTCCACCCCGTGGCGCGCGCGTACGCAGAAGGCGAAATCCAGAGACGCGCGCAGAGAGGCGCGCGCTCTGTTTGTGTTTGAGAAGTAAATTACAATAATTGAATAGACCGCTAATTCCCCCTCGGCTTTCTACCCGTACCCGTTTCCTCTCTCGCGCGCACTCGCCTCACGCTCTTTCCCCGCGCCGCTCTTTTCTCCGTCTTCGTCTCTCGCACGAAGCCCAGCGAGCGCTGGGACCTGGCGAAGGTTAACCACCAGCCGCAGCCACTGTCTCTCCATAAGGCAGGCACGCGGTGCGTTACCCGGGCCGCGATCCACGCGTGTTGCGCCGGTGCTGGTACACCGCCGGCAAAGGGGGCGCGTGTCCTACGATTAATTTCATTTGCCGGTTGCTTTCTCCGTCCCTTTCTCGTACGCGCGCGCCCGCGCGCGTGGGTGGAACGCTAAAGTTCCTTCTTCTTCTTTTTTTTTCTGCTCTCCTCGCTCGCTCGCCGTATACGTCGGCCGGCCGCCGCGCTGCACGGCGTTTTTATTGTCGTTTCGCGTTGCCGAGGCGGCCGGTACAGCGTACCTGACCTTTCGACGACACGGCGACCGGCGACGAATCGAGACTTGTCACCCGACGATCAAGACGTCACGCGATATATATATATTTCTTTTGTTTGTCGGCGATGCGAATTTCGTTCTAGACATTTCCACGTGCATACAAATACGACACATGTATAAAGAAGCCGCTGTCAAGTCTCTCGTTTTTATAATCAATCTTGTCACGCCACGTTAAAATAAAGATTACTGCAATGTAAGCGCGTACAATATTTTTTTTTTCTCCAACATACATGGACTTGAATTATAATAATTCCACTTTTTTAACGTACGTCAGTTTAAGCTCGATCAAATCGAAATTAAATCGCGCAAATCCTACGCTACATTTAAATTACGATTGTACGACGCTTTGCCCTTAATCCGCAACGACCGTAACACGTAAATGTTATTGGGTTAAATTATTTTTAGATATTCTCTGGAATCAGCGGAATTCGCTGAAGCAAGGCGATTGCTGCGTTACAACCGGACGTAAAGGCGCGATATCAGATATACGAGGTAACGCCGTAAAAAAAAAAACTAGAATCAGGAATGTCACCTGTTTGTGCAAGTGTTAACATTATCCCACAGCGCGACTGCGGACAGAACACAGCACCTCACACACAACCGCGAAAGCAAAACAGGATATTATCTCGGTGGCAAAAAATTTCGTCTTGGGAAACGGCTTTTATCACATTGATTTATGACCTCGATCCGCAGCTTAGCGTGCGACGGGCTACGCGTGTAACCCCATTTTCAAGAAGTGAGGCACGTATAGGTAGGGAAGTGATCGGAATCGAAATGCTCTCGCGATAAACAGATCGCGCGATTAAATCGATTAGCGTCGATTATCTCGCTAATTGACGATAATGCCAAGGATTCGCCGCGGAGTGTTATTGCGTTATTACATTATAACTTCACTGTCAGAAGGCGAAACAATCTTCTATTCTACAGCGATCTTAAGATATTTAATAATTTAAATTAATCGAGCTAAAAAAGCTTTTAAACGTTTAAAAAATTAATTACAAAACAAAGATCTCTCTATAATAATTTTTGTTACACATTTTTAAAAAGTTTTTGGAAAAACTTTTGCTGGCGCGACTATGAAGACTGACATTTTTATATTTTGTACACGAAATATAAAAATATATAATTATAAATACATTTTATATGCATTAAAGAATGCGTGATGTCAGTCATCGCGCTACTGCTCCACCTCGACATTTCAACAAGAGTGCCGACTCATATTCGCGCGTAGTTTTAAAACGCTTTCGCATATTGTACACATCTCGCAGCCGTCTTCTGATGGAGGCGAATAGAGAGACATATTTGTAGAGCGTAGGAGCGAGGTGCAGCGGTCCAGATAGATGCAGAAAGAGACGGAAAAGCGAGAGGTGGTGCAGGCCGATAGAACGAGAAACAAAGAGGCAGAGGAGGATCTGATGAGAGAGGAGAGGAGTTCTCCAACGCGCGATACTCGGCACACAGAACCGCCGATGGTCGCCGTTACTCCGCACTCCGATTCGTTCCAAGTATTCGTTATTTGTTTGCTTCTACCGAACGGTGTGCGCCGGGCTCAAGTCAGCTCGTCTATTTTAGCGGGCGCTGCCGCACCGGACTTCAGTCCGCTCGGTCCACCTCACAGTCGGAATACCTGGAATTTCGACGTTATACCTAGACGACCCGTGGGCGCGGGTGAGAGAATATCGCCGGTAGTCTCCGACGAGCCGATCAGCGGCTGCGTGTTTTGCAGGCCCCGATCAAGGCCGACACCCCGAGGATACCGTTTTTGTGCACGTTAAAAAGAAGTCGCGACTACTTTCCGCAACCACGTAGCGCAGATTCGAAGATAATGGTGTCATTAATTTATTATCTGGAAAATTTGTATTATTTCTCCTTGATGTAGGAAAGATCTAGACTGAACAAGAAAATGAAACAAAAATACGTATTTTAACGTATGCATATCCTTAATCGACTTTTCCATCCCCTTACTCGTCCTTTACTTTAACTCTAAACTGAGAATATCGGTCAGAGAAGCGCGTACGGAATTTTCGCAATCCTAGATGCTCCGTTCCTTCTCAGATCGTTGAGTTCGCGGCGCGACACACATTGCTCTCGTAAAATCGACACCGAGTGGAATTGCGTTGCGCGTGTTGCACGACACGATCGCGTCTCAACACTCTCGCATCTCGTACATCGAACGTTTCCAGATCCGCGTTTTATCCTCGTTTACTCCTTATCGCCTGAACTCCGGTGGATCATGACGAAATATAAAAACGCGAGGCTCGTGCCGTGCGACGTCGCGCGCAGCGATCATGCGTCCTCCTCCCGCATGGTTTCGGAGAGTCAGTCGGAAACCAGTCTGAGGCCACATCGGGATCGGGTTTAGCAGGATTTTGGCGCTAACGTGCACGTTGGCGAAGCCGAAATAGCGCCCGGGAATGCTCGCGGCTAGAGGCGAGAGAGAGGGACAGAAAGCGAGATGGAGAGAAGGAAAGAGGGAGAGAGATAGAGAGAAGAGCCGGGCTTTCGGGGCCCGGTCCCCGGAGTACTGGCGACTGGCGATTATAAAGAACAGTAAAAAAGAAACACGGAGAGGAGACACGGAGGGAGCAGGAACGGGCGAGGCGGACGCGCCGCGGAGGGAACGAGACGGATAGGAGCGGTGTATAGGCATCGTCGTTGGCTGCGTTTAAAAAACCAGTTGTGCGAGCCGAGCCGACAGCGACGGCACTCGTTGGGGCACCAAGAAAACCGGCGAGAAGGAGCGCGTGGGCCGCACCGGGTCCTACACGGGGCCCGCGCGCTTTCGGGGCCCTTCGCTCCACGGCGATGCTCGCTCGGTCGTCTGGACAGACACACACGGCTCGGCTCAACCCAATTCGACGGCTACTCTCGCGATGATTTTACGAATCCTCATAGGAGAGCGGCACAATGGCGTTACAGAAATAGGAATGGAAAGTAAATCTTTGATCGATCCCTCAAGCGTATCTCGCACAATCCAAAGATTATGCATTTCTATTTTTTTTCCTCCTTTTTTTTGCGATATCACGATGATACTGGCAGCATGCCTATTCTGTGCGCGTTCCGATACTTTATATTCAGTAAAATTTATGCAAATTGCCGTAGAGCTGCGCTACTCGACAAGAACCTCTCGCCGAGAGTGAATCAGACAGGTAACCGTGATGTACAACGAAATGAAAGCGCGCGTACTTACGAGCGAGCGGATGTGACTATGCGCATTTTACGCGCGGTCAGGTGATTTCGGTGACGTCACCGTTGGCCGAGAGATTACGAGGCGCAAGATGCAACCAAAATTATGCAAATACGATGCAAATCCCGGCGCGCCGTGACGCTAATCCACGTCACAATATTGGAGGTAATTGGCCGGCAGCGCTGTCGCAGTCTCTCTCTCTCTCTCTCTCTCTCTCTGTTTTTGTCTCTCTAGCTTTCTTTTTCCGCCGCTTGTGAAACTTACGGCCCAATTGCCCGGAAATTCATTTTGGAGGAGGTCACAAGATCGAACGCTTCGCAACGATTTCGTCTTTTCTATATACGTGCATATTTATGAAAGAAACAAAACAGGTTTATGCGATTTTTCACTCGCGTGTAATAAAATCGAAACTTAACTTTCTGTCTGTCAGAAACAGAAAGTTATACCTAAATCTAATCTGAAAATAAAATTATGGATTTAGCATTTTACGGATAAGAAAATTTATAAGTACAGGAATCTATAAAAATTTATGGGCTTGTGATTTTCGTAGTTTTCTAAAATACTCGCAAGGATGTAGCTGATCGAGAGAAAGTACGATGTTTCAGTTTTTCGGGATTGACTAAAGATCCTGCTATAACTATTTTAACTGCTATAACTTAGTCGTTAACTTTGTAATTTTCAAAGTTTATAACGCGTGCGCGATAATTTTCAAGATCGGGTCTTTGATACCGCTCTATTATATTGTTCAAGTTCAATTTTGTCCAATGTATAAGCGATGTTAACAAATTGCAAATCGCAGCTGGAGCTTCCAGAGACCTCGTAGGGATTAATCGCGAGAGATCACATACACATCCCGCATACCTGTCTAGTCCTTATCGACCCTTGTCCACCTTGTCTCACGGGCACGAAGCTACAAAAGGGGGAGTAAATGTCGGGACGAAAGGCGGGCGGGTTCATTCATGCCGGTACCGCAGAAGAAGAAGAATTATCTCGGTCGCTCCGTTATCTGCGGCGGCGTACGTGCGTGTGCATCGGGCCTAAAGGTAGTCACGCACCTCGAAAGAGATACCGCGATCTCGAGACAGGGACCAAGCGAGAGAGAGAGAGAGAGAGAGAGAGAGAGAGAAAGAGAAAGAGAATGAGAGAGGGAGGAGGTAGGACGGAATGAGAGATGCTAGAGCGACAGAGATAGGATGATCTTCGCGTCGCGGCTTCATCGTGGGGGTTGATGAATGACGGGCGGTCAGCCACGACCACGCTAAAGTTATCTGGGTAATCTGAGTAGGAGAGAGGTCCCACTGTCTTACGGTGGATTTTATTATGGCGCTCCTCTACTCGCGGCAAGAGCGAGGTCAGCGAGGCGGCGTGGCGCGGCGCGGCGGCGTGCATGCGTTGCTCATACCGCGCGGCCTGAAAACGAGACTGGGTCAGGCTCGCGGTTGCATCAGAGATAGAGAAGGTGGGTCCCGGCCACCCTACGCCGATGGACGTCTACGAGGCGGTGTACAAGGGCGAACTTGGGAATTTCTGCCGTTCAACATCTTGTGAGTCCTTGACCCACTATCGGCACATCGCGATGCCTCACCGCGTGATTCGCTCTCGCGTATTTGTAGCGACATCTTGCCACTCGTGTTCACGACGGGCCCTTAGGGTATTTCACGAGATCGGTAACTTCTCCGTACATGGGGGTAAAAAAATGTAGCGCGACAGAGAAAAGCGGCTTCATCCCCGCGGGATCCTTTTACCTCCCTTAGACTCCGTCGATAATAAAAGGGACCCATCGTAAAGTGGGTCCTATGCGAACTTCGGAGAGTCCCCGTCGCGATCCTTTTCTTTATCGACTGCATTTTACTCCACTTTATTTACGGATCGATATTGTTGCTGATAATTTTCAAACTGAGTAATGCTGCAAATTTATATATTGTGAGTTTGCGTAGTAACTTTTGCCATGGAAATCACAAGTTCCTAAATTGACAACTACTCGAAGCATTTAATTTGATCAAGAGCCGTTTCTAATGTGGAAACGTCCAATGTAGAAACAATTTATTAATATACAAATTTAGAATTTCATGGAAATTATAATTACTGAAAATCGACAAGATAATTATAGAAGAGAATAAGTGAGTAAGATCGTCGGAGCGATCTTTTGTGCCGGTCAAAGTTATCGAAAAGTCATCGAACGGTGCGCTGGTCGACTTTCCGAAAGGTCAGACGGGTTTTCGCTACCCGTTAACTCGACGCCGGTGGAAGCAGTGTGCACCAGCTTTAGATTTTAAGGGGATTATAAAGCCGCGTTTGACCCGCGGTCTCGACCGGTTCATTAGAGAATGTTTCTTCTTTTTATCTTTCTTTAACACACATACGTGCGCGCACACACGTAAGTACACACATGCATGAGAGTTTGCGCTAGAGAGGAACGAAGAACAATGTCGATCTTGGCCTTTGGAGAAGCACCGTTCGTCCTCCGTGGCGGCGCGGCGCGTGCCCGATCACGCGACGATAGACGACAATTAACGACGAGATTCGCTCGGACAAAAAGCGAATCCCGTCACGGTTAACCGGGGGCATTAGTTCCCCAAAATGATGATATTTCGCCGCGGGTAATTACATGTCATTAAAATTTCGTCTCACAAAACGATTCGGGGGCCGGGCTCGCGCGCCGGCAAGAGTCCAACCGGTCAACCGATTCGTCCCGTAATTGCCGTTGGAGTGGGTTTCGATTGGGACTCCGGAGGCCCAAGACAAGAAAATGAGGGTGCGATGAAGACAAGTATGGCAATTACAAGCGATTATAAATAGAACATTAGTTACGTTTTTACATTAATAGGATCCTTTAAGAAGTGCGGTGAATGTAGAGGAAATGTCAAGTATTATGGTATCAAGTATCATATTGGTATATATTTATAAATTGTAGAAATCTCTACAGAAAGCTATATACCCTATTTTAATTTACATTCAGCACTAATTGCGACCATCTAGTTTTTATCGGAGATTTATACGGGCACATTTGAGAAAAATCAATGCGTTTAAGGAGACGAATAATTGACGGAAAACACCTCCGCTGTTTGATCGCCAGTCGATTCACTTTTTGCACGCAGAACGGCCTTGTCGGCGATGACGTCAGCGAAGACACGGGTCTGTCGAGCATCCTGTGGCGGATTCGCTCGATGCCAAGCGAAGGCGTGCAAAAAAGGCGCTGCGTAACAAGCAACTACGTTACAGCGATACGTGCGCCTACTTACAAAGAGGTCGTACGTAAAAAAAAAAGAAGAAGTTAAGCACGAAGGAAAACCCGAACAGGAGAAACCAAACGACTTGCGTTACACTCCTCTTTGGCTTTTCACTTTGGCACTCACGACCTCCTCAGGATCCTGCGAGATCCCGAAACAGCTGCAATTTAATCGCGATAGGAACGACGTTTCTCTATCTTAAATACGATATCGAATAGAATTATCTCTCTTTGTAATTTAGAATCTTAATAAAGAAATTATTCCTTATTATCGATTAAGTTTACTTTATTTTTTTTTTTGTTAATCTCTGTAACATGTTATTTTACATATCTATCGAATTATTGTACGTGGTTATATGAATACTAAATAAAAGAGTGAATACTAAATAAATTATCGTCTGTTCACACATACCTATTAATCAGAGTAAGCTGTCTTTACAATAATCGCTCGCGTGAATCGACTGGTTATAGTGGC